AGCTTCATCTCCAATCATGGAAGGTTGACTGCAGTTCCCAGGAAGCAACACTCAAAAGGCTCTGTCTGTCTGTCACGTGGAATGCCGCTCTTCCCTTGTCTGTCAGACTCACATCTAGACAGGCTTCAGGGCTCAATTTTACCTTCACTATCTCCAAGTTTTGCTTTAGCCTCTAGTCCTAAGTATAGCCCTCCCGGGGGCTTTTTCTAAGCCTCTATGTATATGACTGTTATAAATCACAAATGCATACATTTACATATACATATTTCACAGTATATTTTAAGAGTGTCACAAATCTAGCTCCCAGACCTTGAGTTCTTTAAATATACAAAAGTTCCTTTGAAACACAACGCAGTCTTCTGAGGAAGACAGCCATGACAGGTATACAAGATGTTGAAAGAACACAGCAGAATGTCTCTGCATGGAGGTAGAAGACAGAAAGATGCCAGAAACTGCCTTCAGGATTGAGCACTGAATCTGAAAGGAGTAGGAATTTATCATGTGGGCACAGGAGGGGACTCAGAATGAGCAGTAGAAACATGGCCAGAAAGCAGCAGAGTCTCTGCATCTGAAGGGCTAGTGCAACAGAAAAAGAAAGGAAGGAAGGAAGGAAGGAAGGAAGGAAGGAAGGAAGGAAGGAAAGAAGATTATTCTCAGTAGAGTGAAAACATGTAAAAAAAAAACCTTAAGAGTTAATGAAATATAAACTTACAAGGGAGGCAGAGTAAAGATGTTCATTTTCACAGTCAATTGTCCTTCCTAAAAATCTGCTTACTAAAGTTATATCTCCTGCATATTTTTGTTGTTGGTTTTTGAGACAGGGTCTCTACAAAACCCCGCCTGGCCTGGAACTCGATACATAGACCCATCTCTGCCTCCCAAGTGCTGAGATTAAATGTGTGTGCCACCAGGCCTGGCTTTTTGGATCCCTATCATATAGAAATTCCTATCCCTTCACATTTACAAGTGTACTGAATGGACTGGACACACGCAGCAGAAGCCGCTCCACTGGGTGTAATGGTGTCTAAAGCACTGGCTCACCTTCAGGGGCAAACACTCCAGCAGAAGAAATAATGTTGGCCCACAAATCACCAGAATAGCAGAGGGTGCATGACCCAGGGTCCATGCAAATGTAATAAGAGTGTAGAGAAGGAACAGAAGTCAGCTGTGAGAGTAGGGACACCAAGCAAAAGAAAGAGCTTGTGAGCTGAGGCTTGACGAAGTTAGGAAGGCATACAACTCCAAAAGCAACCCCGCGTGTCCTTCCCAGCAGCCACCCACTTTCCTCCAAACATTCGTCTATAATTAGAAATGCTAGTGACATCAAATAGAAGAGGCTAACCAGGGGGAAAGAGAATCTGCTTATAGAGGATGACTTTTCCGCCCTTGGTATAAAGAGATGCTGAATCATCGCTTCCATTCAAATGCGGGCCAAAGGGTGAACTGGAAGGCATTTCCACACCAACCAAACAAAAGCTTTTAGGAAACACTTCAGCAAATAGGATATGATTTTGCCTACGGCACATTCTTCTACTTCAAGATGATCCTGTGTTATTAACTGTTGTGGCAATTAACAAGTTGGCTGGAAAGGTCCAAGAGCAGGAAGGAAGATATAAGCGGTCATTGATGGGGACCCCAGAATCACCCTGTGCCAGCCAGACTCTGGACTACATCAAACTTTTCCATTTCAAAGTCTCACCAGTGTTCCACACTTAACAGGTGCCAAACTGACGTCAGCATCTGCACCTTTTCCCTCCCGTGTCCTCTAGTTCACCAAAGGACACATGGGAAACTTTCGAGTCCTCATCGATTCAATCTTCTCGATTCTTCTTCACAGTCTTCCCCAACAGCCACTCTGTTGGAATGAGTATTCGCCAGTCCCTGAGCTAAGTGCTCTGTAAATATCTTCTCATTTAATCCTTACTTAAAATTCCAGCGAGGTAGGAGTCCTATCTGCCTTTTGCTAAAATGAAGTTGTATTCGGAAAAGATCCTCAGGAAACCCCGTCCTACCACTGCCTTCACGCTGTGAATCCCCATCCGTTCTGCTTCGGGATTTTTTAGTGCCTTATTATCCTTTCCAGTCCCACCACTGCTTACAACCTCGCGCTGTAAAAACTCCAGCTCCGAACCTCAAATAGTTAGTCCTTAAACTGCCAAAGAGGAAGTTCCAAAATTAGCCCCAAACCTCAAATGTCTGCACGTGCCAGGCATTTGCCCTGAAGGAAGTGAGCCTGGGTAAAAACGGAGCGCATGCTCCTTCCATCCGGGCTGCTGCTTAACGCACTCTAGCCCACGGGTTCCCCGAAGCAATGCCAAGTTACCGATTTGCAACACTGTCTGTGAAATCCACGTTTCCTGTGAAACACTGACAATTTCGAAAACAAGCTAAAACATCCTGACCCGAAAGAAATTCACTTTTAGGTTAGGTTTAGCTCATCAGCACCAGCTCATATGCTCTAAAGTAGTTGCAATTTCCTTGATTAAAGTCTTTACCCTGGTCCTGTATTACCCTGTGGTTAAGGCTAATCTACTTAGTATGACATCAAAGGCTCCCGAGACATTTCTACTTGCTTCTCTTATCAGACATCCTTCAAACATTTACCCCTCTGCAGAACTGGGATGCTCATACTTCCTGGAATGTACTCCTTTTGGCTTCGGAGATCTTTGTGCGGTTTTCTGTTTTCACTTGCCTTATCTAGGACAACTTACCTGGGCGGTCACTCCTGGTCTACTGTGCTGTCCACCGAGGGACACATTCACAGTGTCCAACATGATTTACATCACAATACAGTACATCCCTCTCATCCAGTGCTGCCATGGACCTTAACCACTGATGCTGAGCGGAGCTCAAGATCAAGTGTGTAATTCTATAAGTATTGAACAGATGAATTAACTGAACACTGTAGAGCCTATGGACCTCCCATTGCTCTGATTCAGAAGGGATAGATTCTTCCCTTGAGCTTCCTCAACTCTTCTTAAATTGTCATTTATTGTTATTGGGGGAGGGGAGCCACACATGTGAGGACATGAACGACGCAGTGCGCATGTGTCGTCAATTCTTTCCTGTCTACCTTTATCAAGGTTCTGGGAGTCGAACCCAGGTCACCTGCCAGGTGTCATGCACCCACGGAGCCGTCCTGTCTACCTGCTCTCAACTTTTTCCCATGTTAGAATTATAAAAGGACAGAGACCAAAGTCGTCCATAACTGAGTTCCTTAAGAGCAAAGGTCCATGCTCTGTTCATCTCTGTGCACCCCGGCTCCTAACTTTAGCTCCGGGTAAATCACAGTAACTGTGAATGCTAAGGTTCCGTAGAGTAACTCTACTTTCTTCTACGTATTTCACTGTGAGCTAACCAAAACCATTCCACTGAGGGCTTCATGCAAAGACACTATCCACAACAGGAGAAAGAAGTGATGCCAACTGAAGACAGCACTCAGGCAAAAGGCTTTATTCTAGCAATGAACTAGAAAAATGTCCTACTTCCTTTCAACTCTTGCAAAAGATGGACCTGAGAAGCCAAAGGCAATTTAAACCTGCGATGTTCTTCACCCTACACTGCAGGGAAACACAGCTCAGAGTTCTGCTTTCCATCTACCTTTGGACGAACACATTCATCAAGAACCGTTTAAGCATTAGTTAACTTGTCAGTGTGGATGGGGAAGTGTCACCGGTACCACCCCTAGATCAAAAGCTGCAGACAGCGGCTACTGAGAGGGGAAGAACTGGTCTTCCCCAGAGAGAAGCCCCCTAAATGGTTATCCAGTATCAAGTGGTCAGCCTTAAAGCCATACACACACAAGCAATATTGCATGGACCCAGTAGGTTATATTTTTATGTTATTTACATACACATATGTAACGATAATTAAAGAAAAATACCATCAATATGAGAGGAGGGATAAGAGAGGTTACAGGAAGCAGAGAATAATATATTTATATCTCACTTAAAGAATTTAAAAAGGAAATTGTTCCCCAGTGTTGATCTGGGAACCACAACTGTAATCCTAGTCCTTGGGGTCGGGGGAGATATCAAGGCAGGAAGAGTCTGAATATGATGTCAGCCTGGACTACATAGAGAGTTTGTTTAAAGCTGACCTGGAGGTACATAGAGACACCTGACTACCTGATAGGGAAGAAGGTGAGGGAGGGAGAGTTGAAGGGATGGAAGGAGGAGAAAAGAAAAGAAAAATTGTTCTGTAGCCAGCAGTCCGCTTATGCCAGAAACATGCCCCAAAAAAGTATTATTAATTTTTTTACCAAATGTTCTTATTGAAATCCTACCTTTGGACCATCTCCAGGGATGTGGGACCCCTCCTTCAGCACCCATGTTGAGTTGCCTCCTTAGAAATGACTGCACGTTGTAGTTTGGTATTACCTCACCCAAGTTGTTCGCTGAAGTTGTGAAGGTCTTGCTAAGCGACCTTACTCAGTGCACAAACGTTTTAACCAAGGAATACTTTTACACCAAGGCATCAGGATGAAGGTATGGTCAGTACACAGCTTGTTATCTGATACGGTAAAAATGTTTCTTACCTGAATTGTTCCACGAAGAATTAATAAACATGATACACCATTCCCACAGGTTAGTGATGGGCTGGCGTTAGTAATTTCACTTGATAGAATATGAATATATATATATATATATATATATATATATATATATATATACACACATTTGCTTCTTTACTAAATATCTAAACACTCTTTCAGGATAGAGTGGAGGTCAGTTCATTAGATTTGTAAAACAAGAGGGAGAAAGATTGAAAGGGAAAAGTTTAACCTAACAACTCAGTTAAAGTTAGCTTAGGATAACTGAAAGGGAAAATATAAAACACAACACCCCACTTCTTTGAGGAATAGAGTTTTCTCCCAAATAAGACACTCAAAACCAAGTAATGTTAAGTCTTCTTTATAGCTTTATAAAGTATCATTTAGATGTTATGGCCTTCCAGATATAAATTAGCCAAAGTTATGTCAAGAAATATGTTCCTCTAACCTTTGAGCTGGCACCTTATCCTTGCTAGTCTCTGCCTTAAGACGTAGAAAGCTGCAAAACAAATGGCCAAAAAAAGAAATTCCAGATCTTTTCTCTGTAAGGAGGCGGGGCTCGGGTATGACCAACTTGGTACATTCCGGGAGACTTACACACATTCAACTTTCAGTGCTTCTCTGAAACAACAAAAAAAAATCTAGGACATGTTTAAAATAGTAATATTTTAGTCATCATTTTGTTATTAGAAAACATTTCGCAACAAAAATGTTAGGCAATAATTGAAGCTATCCTATTCTTCTATAGTCCAAGTTCTTAAAACATTTTTAGATATTTTTTAGTGTGTGTGTGTGTGTGTGTATGCATGTATGTACTGGGGGGGAGGGGCATGTGCAGGTGTACCACAGTGTAAACATGGAGATCAGAAGTCAATTTGTTGGAGTTCCTTCTCATCTTCAGCCATGCAGGTCCCAAGGATCAAAGTCAGGTCCTCAGGGCCAGCAGCAAGTATCTTTACCCAATGAGCAAGAGAGAGAGCAACCTACATTCCAAATTCTAATGCACTGTTTCAGAGCTTTTGCAACACTGTGTCTTTCAATATTTCATTTTCAAAACACTGATTGTGGGTTTCTAGTGTCATTATCTTTTAATTTAAATGAATTTTGGTTAAAGCAACTGAAAAAAAATGAGCAACTTTGACTCAATCAGTACCCAGGCTGGTAGCTCGTATGTATGACGTAACTGTTCACTTACCTTTTTCTCATATACTGCATGCTCCTTTTTCCCTCCAGCTTTGGGGAAAACACATTAAAGTTTGTCTTCTTCCCTTTATCATCTCTGTCTTCTTGCATGGCTGCTTTGGTTGTCAATAGCAACAAGAACTAACTGTAAAACCTTAGCCAGTTTGCTTGGAGATGCATTAATATCCAGTTCAATGAACGTTAAGGGAAGAAACTCAAAACACTATAAACAATGGTCAGTGTTGGACCAGCCTAGAGTCCTGGGGTGAGAGAAGAGATGGTTTTATTACATCTCTCTTTGGATGAATGCCTTCCCTCTTTAAAACATAAAACATCCACTTTAACATATGATCATTGTTTTGTATATTTGTCCAATTTAAGGGAGTCTTTTTGGGGGTAACGGAAGAAAAGTTTGCAGGACTGATATGACTCAATCAAAGCAATAATCTAGTCATTCATCCAGAATGATTACAAAGTATTATTAAGGGCAAATGTTACATTTGTTTGCCAGATTTTTGTTCCGTTTATATGTGATTTCTGTGCATGCATGTATCCATGCATGTGTATTGTATGCATGAGTATGGGGGTGTGCATGCCAGTGTAAGCACATGCAGAGGCCAGAAGAGGACATTGGGTGTCTTCCTCTATTGCTCTTTGCCTTACTGCCTTGAGACAGGGTCTCTTATTGAACCGAATCTGGTCCTTTGGTGAGGCTGGCTGGCCAGCACACTCCCTCCTGGGATCTGCCTGTTTCTGCCTCCTAATGAGGCTGGAGTTATGGGAACTCACTGTCAAGTATGGCTTCTTGTTTTAATGGGTGGTGAGGATTCAAGCTCAGGTCCTCCTGCTTGGACTTACCCACCCATCTATCTCCCGGCCCTGGTTTGTTAGATTTTTTTTTTTCCGTGTTGGTTATGTTTATAATTTGCAAGTTGTTTCCATTGCCTTTAATTTTTAAAATAATTCACCATAGGCTGACAGAGAACTATTTGTTTAAATAGAATAATGAAATGCATCAAGTATCATCTAAAGAAATACTGAAAATAAAGCAGAATAAAGCAGAAAGAACATTCTGGATGGCATATTTTAGAAGTTGGGTTTATGGCCATGATTATGCATGAGAAAGAAAATGCAAGAGAATACTATTTCTTTAATACAGTCCATAACCAGCTTTGAATAATTTGTCTGCAAAAATATTTTACATTATTTTAAACAAACAAACAAAAAAAGAGTCATTAAAGGATAGAAAACACCATTATTTACAAGCTAGCTGTCTCAGTACCACGCAGCCCAACAGCTCTACCTAGTCTAATTCCTAACAATAGCTCAAGGCTGGGTCACATTTTTCTTAATTAACACAAGGAAACCTGGAAACACTTGATTTAGTGAATTGATTGGTATCAGTATGCAAACCTCTTATGGCTTCTAGCTTAAATTTCAGCCAATGTCCCACATTCTAAAATTCACATTTTAAAAATCATTAAAAAATTCTTTTTTAACTTAAAAAATATTAAACATGGGACAGAAGGCTTTTTGTAGGAAGTTCCCGAGGTCTCATCTCTCCTGATGGACAAAGACATTTTCATATGCAATCTACAGCACAAGTTTTGAAAAGTCGCCAAAAAATACATTCCCTGCACGTGCCCTGTGTCTTAGTGATGTGTGAGAAGCCCTGGCATGAGGCTCATCTGGAGCTCGTCCATCGTAACACAGGAAAACCTGTCCCATGTTTCTCCTGATAATTTGTTCCTCCACGTGGGTGTCAAATACATTCCACATCGCCCTCGAAGCCACTGGCTTGTAGTTCAGGACTCAGTCGCGTCTTTCCTGCCTCCGTTCATCTGAGACTTCCGATAATTCACACTTTGCTACGTACCCTTAACATTAATAAGCACATGGATAGGCCTATGAAACTGTTACACACTAAATAATCTATTAGGTGATTAGCTTTTCTTGCCTGCTGAGCACAGCTTTGTGGCGTTGGAGACAGTCCTGAGGTTCAGATGGTGTTAAAGATGAAAGGGAGACGTACTTCGGTGGTAAAGTGGGCACCTAGCATGTGTGCGAGCCTTGGGCTTCATCTCCAGCAATGGAAAACAATCTTCAGAGCCATGCATGGTGATGTACACTTTTAATAGCAGCATTGATGGGGAAGAAGAGATAGAAGGATTAGAAGTCTGAGAGCAGTTTCGACTCCATGGTGGGAACAGTAAGGACAGAAAGAAAGGGAGATGCAAGAAGAAGCCAGACACAGGGTAGGGTATAGAACCTGAAGGTAGGAACCCCACACTCACGGTGCCTACCTGCTTGTCTGCAGTTTAATTTGCTATAAAGAATTATGAGCTGCCCAACTGTTCGGCTGCTTAACACCTTTGGAAAGAAACAAAGTGAGTACTACACTTTGAGATGACTGATATAATTACCACATAAGGTAGACACAGAGGCACAGAGCCTCTTAAGCATGTGTCCCAACAGGTCAGGGGCCAACTCCTTACAGTGAAAACTGTGAGGGACAAGCATGACAGGGAAAGGAAGACATGTCATGTAACACTTGAACTACCTGCCAAATCCTAACCAGCAGCCACAAAGGCTGCCACCTCTCCAAAGCTCTCCGTATCCCAGCCTTTAAATTGTATGGTTCTCATTGTCAAAGACTTGGCATTAATCGGGGGAAATCTCTTCACAGTCAATTAGTGAACTTGGCACAGTTGCACACAGACATGCAGGATGACAGACAGCAGAACACAGGAATGGAAGAACCCAGAGGAGCCCAGCTTTCAGGATGTGCCTTCATGACTATTAAAGAATTCATTAGCTCAGAGAACAGAGCATTTGGCAAACCTATACATTATTTCTTTGCAATTTTATACTTTTCTTTCCCAAAAAGCCGTTTTAAAATCCAATTTAAAACAAAATGAAACAGCATATCATAATTTTAATACCTAGCCACATGTAGATAGATTCTAAGAGAAGGTGAGTAATTTAATTCATTAATGAATTTTAAATACAATCTGAAAAAACTCTCAAAATATCAAACGATGTAGAAAATGTTAAGTATCCAGAAAAAAAATATTAAGTAACATAAGGATATCCCAGTAGAGAAGATGCTAAGGAATTTTGGGTCATGGGAAGCTTATGTTTTAAAAGTCTCCAGGCTCAAGGGATGGCTCAGAGTTAAGAGCACATACTGCTCTTGCAGAGGACCTGGTGGGCTCCCAACATCCAGACCGAGTTGCTCACAACCACCTGCAACTGCAGTTCCAGGAGACCCAGCGCAATTTTTCTAGCCATTCCAGGTACCTCAATGTACACTCATGTGCATGTATGTACTCCTACTTCCCCACCCTCATAAATACTTTAAAAATTAAAAAATGGGGCTGGAAAGATGGCTCATCAATTAAGAGTACTGGCTGTTCTTCCAGAGGACCCAGGTTTGATTCCTAGCACCTATATAACAGCTCACAACCGTCTGCTACTCCAATTCCAGGGGATCTGATGGGTCTTTTGGCCTACATGGATACCACTCACAGACATGTTGCCTAGTCATACATGCACGCAAAACTCTCATGTATGTATGTATGTATGTATGTATGTATGTATGTATAATAAAAATAAATGTTAATTATTTATAAAAAGAAAATTTATAAAAGAACATAAAGTTGAGTGGGTAGGTAGGAAGGATCTGAAAGGAATTGGGGGAGGAAAAACACATGATCACAATATATTGTAGAAAAAAATTTTTTGATTAAATAAAAGAAAAATATCTATGCATGGAACAATTACTGTGAATTTAGCAACATGTACCATTTAGCATTTAGGGATTTCACTGAAATTTGGGTTTGATATTTAGCATTTATGAGAATAAGACTAAAGGTTGTTGGGGTTTGTGGTTTTGTTGTTGTTTTGGTTTTTGTTTTGATAGTCTCATGTATAGTTCTGGCTGTCCTGATCTCACTCTATAGACCAGGATGGCCTTGAACTCATGGGAATCTGCCTGCTTCTGCCTCCTGATTACTGGGATGAGTGATGTGCACCCTCATGACTAGGAGAAATAACACTGACCACACAAAGTATATATTAATCTAAGAATTGCTGAGTATTTTTTCTTCCTTTGGTGTACACTAGCACAAATTTAATTTGTGATGAAATAGCTCCTAAAGATTCAGAGTCCATGAATAATATCTACTATGGAAGGCGACCCTGACCAACCACAGGATCTGATCTCTGATCGTGGTTTTTAACAGGGAAATAGCCAGAGAAACTGGACAAAATTCTGGAAAATTTATACCATTACTCCACAGAACGGGTAGAGAGATATTGATCAAATTAAGTATTTAGCTTTAAATTTTACTGACAAAAATCATCTACATCAAATCCTTGGTCACAAATCTTCATTTCCAGAAGTTTGGGACCTATCAATGCTAGCCCTGACTTTTAGTATTTAAAGCTCCATTGGGAACTGAGGCTATTTGTTCTCCAGAAGCAGCATACTCTACTCATACCATACTCTAAAGCTAAAAATAATTTTGATACTTGTGTCTATCTTCCTCTGCAAGAATTATATTGATTTAGCAATTTTATCAGGATAAATTAAAACCCAAATTCTTTTTTTTAGAACAAAATTAAAATTTTATTTGAATTTTCATTCTCAAGGTAATAAAAATAAGACATAAAATACATTGTCAATCAAAATACTACTAAATAATGTACCTTTAAAAATCTCTTAATCAGATGAACTACTGTGAATTTGCTTTCTATATTTTAATATAAAATGATAAATGTAAGATTTTTTTAATATTTCTTTTTAGTTATGTAACTTAATTAGATAGGCCAGGCATTATGTGTACCTGAGTGTGAAATCCAAGATTGTTATGAAGTTTGTGATCTATTCAAAATAGTAGATAGAGAAGGAGGGGGCATTTGCAAAGTTTCTGTTAAATTTCCTTTTCACAATGAAATTGCAGGGATACAGTCTCAATAAGCAGTAGCTAGCATTCAGAATTCTGGTCAATCTATCTGTATGTAAGAGGAGGGAGTTCTGGTCAACCTCTCTGTATGTAAGGGGAGGGACTTCTGGTCAACCTATCTATATGTAAGAGGATGGAGTTCTGAAAACCCAAATTCTTTATAAAAAGATATGGAATGAATGTACAGACGATATCTGTGAATATATACCACATATCATAAAAACTAATCTGGGCTGTAAAATATTCCTCTGTTCTGACTTTAATGGGAACTTTGTTATGACCATAATTGTCTCTTTAATTACATATTAATAAGGAAATAAAAACCTAAAGCAATGTTATAGTACATTAAAGTAGAAAATTATATTTAGTATTACTTAACCAAATTGGTATTACTTAACCAAATGCCAGTAACATGTACTTTTTGAAGTGAAATTACTTTTCTTCTTGTCCTGACCAGTTTGTAGGAAAAGACTAACAACCACTTTAGACAAATGCAACTGATATTTTTCCCCCAATCTAAACTGTCTTTGCTATCTACTGTGTTGGGTTTTTTTTTTGTGGGGCGGAGGACAAATGTTTCACTGGTTGCCATTAAGTAGAAAATGCTAACTCCTCAGTTCTTTAAGGCTGTTCAAGGTGAGAATCCAAGCAGCTCTGATTGCTGCTTCATGTCTGGGGAACAGGAATCTCTGTTTCTTCTACAGAGACAGGGGCCTTCCTGGATTTGTGCCCTCTTAGAATACACATCATCTTTTTGTTATTATTTGGACTTTTATGATGTCGATTTGTTTTCAGAGAGACAGAGGGAAAGAGTGAAGGAAGGAGACAGGGAGGAAGGGGGAGGAAGAGAAATTCTTATAGGGTGTATGTGCACCAGGATTTCAGTTCCAATTGTCAAAGGAGCTTGGTGAAGAGTCCATGTGGATCGACCTTTTCTCACGCTGCAGTACAAGGTGAAGACTTAAGTTTGGATTCCAGACTATCCTATGTTCAGTATGTTCCCCATGCTCTGCTTCTATCTAGTCAAGCCTGTGCACTTTATACAGAGCAGCCCTCTGTAAGGTCCATGCATACTAGCAGATCAAGTAGGTTTCGTGAGAACTCCTGGATGAGGCTTTGAAGAAGTGAGCATGGTCAAGAAACCAGCACTGCTGCTCGCGTCACTGGCCGTTAACCATGTATAAAGCGGGTAAATGGGCTTGGATATAATATCTGTGTTTGTCTCTTTATCCCAAACCATAATTTATATGGGTGCATAGTGAGCTGGTGATGAGTTTATATGCTGATATTTAAGGAGTACAAATTAGTGTTAAGAATTTCCCACTGATTTCTTCCCAGCATCTATTTATGGTGGAGCCCACGACCAGCTAGCTCCCTATACTTACCCACAATGCTTGCCTCCTGCTCTCTGTCTCCCATTTTTTAGTTAAACATTTCTTACCCTTAAAAGGTTGAAGGGTGTTTGAAAAGCATCATTTTCCAAACATGAGAGGACATAAATAAATCGGAACAAGGAGATCAATCGACTTATGTTTTAAGGCATCTTCAGTGGGACCAAAAGTAGAAAGTGACTGAGATGGAAAAAAAATCTCCTTATAAAATCAGCCATAATTTATTCTGTTTTTAAGTTCATTTTTTTATAAAGAAAATGTAGAGTCAAATGAAGGCTCTCTTAATGTAGAAACAGGCTGTCACTGTACAATTTTCCTGTATTTAGTTGTATAGGACAGCGGTGATGATGGATGGATGTCCAGATAGTCACTGTAGTATATCTTGTAAAAACACAATGCTGAAAATGGCTTTCACGCACAAAAGTAGGAGATTGTTATTGTACGTCTGTATGATAGCAAACTGTGAAGCCATTTAGAAGACTGAGTCAGGTTTACATGACCCTGTAAGGACTGGTCCTTAAACACTTTTGAAAAGGTACAGAAGAGTTTCAGTTTATGCTACTGCTATGCAAAAAGTGAAAATCTTAAAAACTAGACATTTCTGCAGAGATTAGTAAGAAACAATGACTGTCTACCAGAGACTAGAACTTAGTGTCAAGAAACCATAAAAGTAACAAATACTTACCGTTACTGCAGCTCCAAAGGGCTCTCTCTCCCTCCCCCTCTTGTCCTCCAAGCCTCTTTCTCAATTTTTTCCTTAAATATCCATTACTTAGGTTTTTTTTTTAAACAAAAATGCATTATGTAAATAACTTAACCAGAATAGGCAATAGAAAATGTAAATCCACATCCCCACAGCTTTAGAAGCATTTTGATCAGTGCTTTTGGTCTTTCTGTCATCATGTGTCCCGAGATAGCATTCCATGCTCAGCTTCTACTCCTCCCTCCTATGTCACGGATCCAGTAATACAGCAGTCAGCACAGGTACACTGAATTATGGCTGAAGGTGAAAGACAATAGGAGCAATTCCTGAAAGAGGATGTGACTCTTTCTTACAAATAGAAAAAGACTCTACATTCATAAAACTAGACAACATAATAGCTGCAAGCCAGGAGGAGATTCTGGCAAATGGACAGATTTCAGTCCATTCTGCTGCCAGTGGTCAAGGGTCACTGGTCTAAGGAGAAACATTAAACTAGGATTAAACTGGGATCAGACTAATGCCCGGCTTCCTTGGAAGAAAGTAGAGAGGAAAACTTCTGAAGAACAAGCAACAAGCAATGGGTCAGTCTTTGGATCCAGCATAACCAACTGAGACACCGCTCTCCAGCTGACCAAAGCTAAGAGTAAGTAGGCCCTTTGGGCATACACAGAAATTTGCCAACATATTAGGAGGCTGCAGCTCAGCATTTTTTTCAGCATTACGATCAAGGTTACTTTAGAAGCAGCACACAGATCTAGAAGTAGAGGACTGCTTAACTAATTACAGGACCGCCTCACAATGGAATACTTCAAATCCATAAGAAGGATGCTTTTCCCATACAGATGATAAGAAAATGGCTTTAAAGATGTTCTTCAAAGAAGGCACAGGGCAGTTTATCTACCAGGTTGCATTTGTACAAAGCAGGTAGGTGGCAGGGGAGACAGAGAAGTTACCCAGAGTATGAAAAATATCTCTGAAATCTACATAGGGACACCTGATAACACTTGTGTCTCTGAGGAACAGTTATCTCAGGAAGTGAATACATTTTCCTTTCTAAATAAGTTAAGATTCTTAAAAAAAAAGTTGTATATTTGGAAAAAAGTAAAAGTCTACACACAACTGAGAGAAAAAGGCACACTCTCTTCAGTAGCACGTACACTAAAATCGGAATGATACCGGGAAGATGCGCGTGGCCCCTGTACACGCATGACACGCAAATTTGTCTAGTGTTTTATAGCTTTTGCATCAATTTCTGTTTTCGTGTGCATTTATAAACTTGCAGTAAGTTTTGGATGAAGAAAAGGCAGAGCCACCTCTATGTTGTACAGGAGGACGGTAAGAAAGGTTGGCTCAACAGACTAGGCTTTCCTGCCCCCTCCCCCACTGCAGGGAAGGTCATATCTCTGTGTGGAATAATATGCCTTATTCACTGTGGATTGATCATTCAATATCACTGATCACCTCAAAGCAGCTGGCTTGACTTGAACTGTACAGAGAACGAGTCTGTCGGATAGAGAGCAAGGACCAAGTAGGACCCTCTCACCAGGGGACATCTGGGGAGACAGCACACCTGCTGTGAACAGATGAGCCAGTTTCTGAGAAACAGACACCATGCTGCCTCCTTGTACCCTGTGTGCAGAGTCTGTGCTGTCCAGCAGCGTGTTCCTGTGGCAGGTGTGAGGGCAGCCAAAGGATGTGAGGACAGGCTTGGCTGACAACCAGCAAGAGTTTGCTGGGCTTTCCTTTCACTAGGCTGGCCCTTCAGCCTTAGAAGTACTAAAACTTCTAGTCTGTAAAGGTTAAGGGCTGCCCGGATTACCTGTAGGAAGGAGCTTGGGAAATTAGTGGCTCTTAATGGTATGACTTTAAAGATCAGTTCTACTCGTAGAAAGAAAGAGCAAAGCCATTTCTTTAAAACTGAACTTCGAAGACTACACACACTCAAAAACTACCTGTTTGGAAAGGTCAAGATTCTTCAACACTACTTTGTGCTTGGAATTTGCATTCCAAGACCACTCGAAGTCACTCAAGGAACAAGGTGTTCCTAAATCGCCCTTCGTTACAACAGCAACAAACTCAGCCTCACTTCCTAAGGATTGGGGTACTCAGGTTTGGTGACATAAGTGTTTCTAAAATCATCCACAGCCTTGCTTTTATTCCTACCTTAAAAACAAACAGAAGAGATTCTATGATCTAACCTCATAACTGGGAGAGAAGGCTAATGAACTCAAGACAATGGGATATGTTCAGCTCCATGAGCTGAGAGATGCCTGCCAGCAATCTCTCATACAGCCCCAGCCAGCACCTCCACCCCAGATTTCCAGTTATCCCTGGGGTAGTTAGGACTGACTAGTCATGAACTGTTTTATTTGTAAGACATAATCCATGCTCAACAAAAGCTGTTTTATTTGTTGGCTCCAAATGGAAAGGTGTTTGCTAGGAGTCATTTTGGAATTGGGTTCTGTGTAGGCATAATGTTTTTGTGCACTGTGGGAAAGTTCACACTTGTGTTACTCCAATGGTGATTTCTCTGCCTTCATATCTTGTTTTAATCTGGACATGGCATTGTAATGTTTATACTAAGAATCTATCTCAAGTTTGTGTAAAACAGTTCTTACCATTTGTTCTCTGCCTTGTCAATAAATGCTGTCCAGCCAATGGCTGGGCAGCAGAGAGAATAGGGCGGGATGTCCACTAGTGAGACGGGGGAGGGCAGATTGCTGAGAGGAAGGAGGAACTAGAGCCATGAAAATTGGATTAGAGGAGCCAGACCAATAATAACATGCAAGTATCAGGGGATGGAGCTGGGAGGCAGCCAGTTAGCATAGAAGGTAGGGATAGATCATTTAATCGCTCAGCTATTGAGGTACAGTTTTAAATAAATCTTGGCTTCTCTGTGCAGTTATTGGGGATTAACATAGTGAAAATAAATACAGTCGCCGGACTAATTCACTGTTTACATTTATATTAAGAATAATTCTTTAACAGTTCTGGGTGGCATGGGCAGGAGTTATGAGGACAGACCCCATGTCCACAGGGCTCTGAGGGGAATAATATGTATAACTTTCCAAAGATGACTTTTCTTCTAAGGATCACGTCATGCTGCTTGGTGGCAGGATACTTACCCGGCTTGTGCAAGGCCCAGGGTTTTAAAGAAGAATTGTCTAATTTCTAAATTTCTAATTTACTCGTAACTATCTTAAAGAGGGCATTCAAAACCTAAATTACCAAAGATGCAGTTTATGAAGATGTATGGATGAGGACAGCAAATCAATGACCTGTGCAAGGATCAAAAAACTAATAAATCGTGTTCTTTTTTCCAAGACTCAGTTTCTGAGTAAAGACCTAAGAATAGGAATCATAAAATTTAGGTATCTCCATTACTGTCACAAAATTCTGTGCCTTTATCAAACAGCCTCTTCATTGAAATGCAGAAACAATTCAATACTGTACTGGTCAATCTTTCCTGTATCTACAACCACTGGCCAATAACACATTCCCTAACTCCGATAATAAGATAGCCTCTAATGGTTTCAGATTTGCTATTCCATGGTGGGTCCCTTCTTTATTAACCTCAAGAAGTCTTCATGTGGGCTTTCTGTGGCTAGGGACATGCCAGGAGGATTGAGTCCAAAACTGACAGCAGTCTGTCTGTCTGTGGGTGCAGGTTTTCAGTCTTTCCCAACTCACCAGTGGAAACATAATGAGGACTCTGCATTTGCTCTACTCTTAAGGATAAAGGATACAAAACCACTTCAATCAACGGCATCACTCTTAGTTCCCTGACAGCCCAGGGACTCTGCTTAGTAACAGACACTGTGTTCTTCCTCATCATGGAAGTTCTCCAGTGGAGTTTACAGGCAGCCTTCCTTGGAAATCTGCTAATGGCTAAGCAGGTACAAAAGTGGGTGCCTAAGCTCAAGGCCCCAACTTATCTAGTGCTTTTACTTGGGTGTTCTGCCATGAAAATTGGGTGAGCCTTTAAAGTGACATATAAAACCCAAGAAACCTCAACTATGGAAGTATCTAGTTGGCAGAAGGAGAGAAAAAGTTAACACAATTAAAATGAAACACGCCATTGAATAGATGGGGAAGCTAAAGTACAGGAAATTACAAGCAAGAAACAAATGCATTGTGATGACTTTTGAGAGACCTCGGTCTGTGTGCTGTAAACATGCAACCACCAATACATAGGTGAATGCAAGAGAGTTGCACTGGATAATAGTGAGCCCCGTAAATAGTCAATACATTTAAAGCCCAGGACGATTAGAAAATCAAATGTGGAACTTTCAAGTGTGGAAGAGATCTATTTATGAGCCAAGAACACAAAACAACGAGTCAAAGAATAGAAAGACGCCAAAGATCTAACCCGAAATGAACTATGAAAACACAACCTGCCTATTTCTGGAAACTGTCATGCCTTTTCAGCGGGGCAGGAATGCTAGGGTTGGACTCCGGGTGGCACGGGCAGGGAACATGAGGACAGACCCCATGCCCACTGGGCTGTTCTTCTACTCTGTGCCTTCAATAGCCCCAGAGAGAAAGACAGCAAGTCCCTGAGTTAAATGTGCTTTTGTAGCTGTAAGCCAGACAGGAGGTCAGACGATTCCATGACCCTGCAATGTGAGTCTCTCAAAACAAGTTCAGGAAAAGGAGAGCAAGCAGGAGTGAGATGCGTTGCGGAGTGTTTTGTGTAGATCATGTGACTCAGGTGACATTTGGGTCAAAACAAGTCACAAATGTTCAACCCAGGGGAGTAGACACCCCCTGAATGGCATTTACACAAAGACCATAAAATCCAGTAGACAACATAATGTGGGTACCACTTTCCCCCCACTAACACGTCTACCTAGAGAGAACCTGAAGGGCTCTGTGTAACAACACAGGTGGTTACGGTTAGCGTTTGCTTTTTTTTTTCTTTTTTTTTTTTAAGATTTATTTATTTATTTTATATATGTGAGTATACTGTCACTGTCTTCAGACACACTAGAAGATCCCATTACAGATGGTTGTGAGCCACCATGTGGTTGCTGGGAATTGAACTCAGGACCTCTGGAAGAGCCGTCAATACTCTTAACCACTGAGCCATGACTCCAGCCCCTAGCATTTGCTTTTTGAAGGAAAATTCCATAGTGAGTTCCTCAGAAGAGAGCCATGGTACCTTTGATAAGGCAGTGACGTGGAAAAAAGAACACTCAGATTAGTTAAGGGTCAGAGAGTCCAAAATATTTTTCACACTATACTTTTTAAGAACGAGGTTAGAAATTGCAGATGTAACTGACTCCCAGACATATTTCAACTGACTTTTGAATGTAAAGCTTCCCATTCATAAGGGCATGTGAGGCAGTCAGGGCTGGTTCAGAGATACTTCATTCAGCCCACAGGCTGCTTCTTGGTGCTATTCTGCCCCTTCCACCTGACCCCTTGCCCTCACATTCCTCTACCTTAGATCAAAACAAAGGAAGACAGACTCAGCAGCTGACAGGAGACATTTGGACCATCTAAGATTTGGCAGAAGAAAAACAAACAGAAGAATACTTCTACCCCTGGATTCATTACTTCTAACACTGGATTCATCTCCACGGTCTCACCATGTTTAGTGTTAATGGCTCAGGCTCTTTTTCAATTTAAAGGGCCTTCATTTCACTGGACCAGGGAAGCTTGGAAGCTTTTTTAATCTGGCCAGTAGTGATACAAGTGTGGATTTTTCCTGATTGAAGAACACAGAATCTGATAGCATAGATATAGATACAGATGATATAAAAATAGAGATAGAGAGATAGAGAGATAGATAGATAGAGAGAGAGAGAGAAAGAGAGAGAGAGAGAGAGAGAGAGAGAGAGAGAGAGAGAGAGAGAGAGAGA